TTCATTTTCAAAGATGACTAGTGAGGGCCAGGGGCAGTAGACAGAGTGAGCACCAGCCTTGGAGTCAGGAGGACCTGAGTTGAAATCTAACCTCAGACATTTACTAGCTGTGTGACCCTGGGCAAGTCACTTAACTCCAGTTGCCCCCACTAAAATAAATAAAATAAAATAAAAAACCCAAAGAGGACCAATGACATCACAAGTGATGTCTTGACTTGTGAAGTCAAAGGACCTGCATTGAAATCCCTGCTTTTCCACTTACTGCCTATATGTCTTTGAGTAAGTCATTTCCCCAGTGTGGGCTGCAGTTTCCTCATCTAAAAATTAAGGAAAGGAGGGTTGTAGTAGATGACCTCTGAGGTGCTTCCAGATCCATACTGGTGGTCCAATTTTGCCAGGCATTTTTACTGTATATACCTGTCACCTCGTTTGATTTTCACACCTTTACACCTGTAAATTAAGGTACTACAGGTATTATTTTTACCTATTTTGCAGCTCAGAAAACTGAACCTCAGAAAGAGGAAATGACTAACCCATGATCCCAGAGGCAAAATTTGAACCTCATGCTCTCTTCCTACCAGACTGGCATATTTCTCCTTTGAGCTTAGACTTAGAGCCAATTAGAACTTTAGGAACAGGTAGGTGGCACAGTGGATAAAGCACCAGGCCTGAAATCAGGAAGACCTGAGTTCAAATCCAACCTCAGACATTTACTAGCTGTGTGACCCTAGGCAAGTCACTTAACCCTGTTTGCCTCAGTTTCCTCATCTGAAAAATGAGAAGGAAATGGCAAACCATTCCAGTATCTCTGCCAAGAAGACCCCAAATGAGGTCACAAAGAGTTGGACACGACTGAGCAACAGCAGAATTTTAGAGGGGGCCTACTCCACCATTCATTGTATAGAAGAAAGTGAGGCCCAAAGAGGGTAAGGGGTTTATAGGCTTATAGACGTAGACCCAGACGGGACTGCCAAGACAATCTAACCCAGATCCCTATGTTACAGATGAAGAAACTGAGGCCCAGAGTGCTTCAATGATTTGCCCAAGGTCATACAAATAGTATCAGAGATGAGATTTGAACCTAGGCCCTGTGACTCCAGAGCCAATGCTCTTTCCACGGTACCTTTTGCCTAGGTGGCTTCACAAGGAACACCAGAGGGAAGGGGCACCATATTTTGGAATGAGACTACACAACCCCTCATTTCCTTCTCTCTCCTTAGAGATCCTGGGAAGGAGCATCTAAGGCTGATGACAAGAGACTTGAATTTTTTTTTTAAAGGCCTTCGAGGTTAAATGACTTGCACAGGGCCACATAGCTAGTAAGGGTCTAAGGATGGATTTGAACTCAGCTCCTCCTGACTCCAGGGCTGGCACTCTATCCACTGTGCCACCTAGCTACCCAAGAGACTTATATTGTAATCCTGGCTCTGACCTCTGATTCAGTTTATGTCCTTGGGCAAATCCCTTTCCTGTCCTCAGTTTCCTCATCTGTTTAATGGGGATGGTTAGACCTATTTGGACAAAGTCACTGTACTGCTTTGGACCTCAGTTTCCTCACCTGTAAAAAGAAGGTGTGAGGGGAGGGGGAGGGGGAGAGTGGACTAGGTCCCTTCTAGCTGTGAATTTCATGATGCTAAGAACCTACCCTTTGGGGCTGCCAGGGCTGTTAAGAGGAAAGTACTACGTAAACCTAAAATAATTGTGTTCTCTTGTTATCGTTTCTTTAGTTGATGCCTTTAATTTCTCCACCAGAGGAAAAAAAAAAGCTTGAACTGGTTGGAAGTTCTTACCTTCTTCTGGAAGCCCCTTGCAGAGCAGGGAAGGGGCTGGTGGGTCAACCTGTCCTTTTGCATTTCCCAGATATTGGAGGATGAGGATCCATCCCAGCACTAGAAGGAGACAGGAGACAGCCCCTCTCCTTAAGGTTAAAGGGAGGGGACAACCAGCCTCCCTCTCCCCACTCTCCTTCCCAGCCCATTCTAGTGAGAAAAGAAGGTCCATGAGCCCTAGGTCTTTCCTACACACTGCCCTGTCCAGGGCCCTTTCTACATGAGGATTCATAAGCAAGCCAGGATGGAGAGAGAGGTCAGGGAAGAAGGAAACATCTCTTTCCCCAGGGCTAGCCAGCCAGTCAGTCACCCCTGAGTCCAGGGCACTGGCCCAGTATCTAGGGTTCAGTCTCAGATTCAGGGATTAATATCTAGTGCTCAGGCCCAGTTCCCAGGGTTCAAGCCTAGGATCAGAGACTCAGATTGAGTAAAGAGGCTTAGGCCCAGTGCCCAGGGTTCAAGCCTAGGATCAGAGACTCAGATTGAGTAAAGAGGCTTAGGCCCAGTGCCCAGCGTTCAAGTCTAGGATCAGGGACTCAGATTGAGTGTCCAGGGCTCAGTACAAAACTCTGGGGTTCAGTCTCAGTGACAGATGCTCAGACTTAGTATCCAAGTCAAACCTTAGCTATCCAGGGATGAGGCCCAAGTATCAGAACAGCTCAGGATAACTGGCTGAGGCCCCCTGGCTACGTCTCCTGACCATCTTCATTAGCACTCAAACCCTTGCTATTCCAGACTTGGCAGAAAGGGCCGACAAGTAGTTCTGTCTCTTCCCCGCCCCAGTATCGCCCCAGATCCCTTCCAGGCACAAGTCCCCAGAACCGGGGGCAGCGATGAGGCAGGAGGGAGGGAGACCAGAACCAAGGTCTCTGCCCTGGCCCAGACTGTGGCGCCAGCTCAGTGACCTCGGTCCAAGGCACGGGTCCAGCCCTGAGAAAGGCCAGGCAGTCCAGATGGGAGCTAGATAGTGATGGGGGATGGGAGTTGGCCCACAAACGAGAGAATCTCTCTCTCCCTATCTAGGCCACGAAAGTGAGAAACTGTGTTTCTCTTCCATGTAGATAAAATAAGCGATTCCTAGACTATCAGAGCTAGAGAATAGGGAGTCCAGCCATCTCATTGTAAGGATGGGGAAACTGAGGCCCGGAGGGGTGGGTACCTGTCCTGGGTCACCCAGAAAATAAGTCTGTCTTCCTCTGTCTCTCCCCACTCTGGGTCTCTCTTTGCCTTCTCTCTCTATTCCGTCTCTGTCTCTGTCTCTCTCCTTTGTGACTCTGTTTCCTCCAGGTCTCTGGCTCTGCCCTCTCTGTGTCTCTTGTCTCTCTCTCCTCTGTCTCTTTTCTGTGTCTCTCTATTCTCCCCCCATTCTGTCTCTGTCTCTCTCCCCTTCACATTTCCAATCCTTCTCTCTTCGCTCTTTCAGGGGTATGTTTCTGTCTCTGCCCGCCCTGTGTCTCTGTTTCTTTCTGTCCTTGTCTCTCTGTCTCCCCCCTTTGTGCCTCTGTTCCTTTCTACTCTGCATCTCTCTCTGTCTCTTCCCAATCTGTGTCTCTGTTGTCTCTGCTGGGTCACACATATTGACTCAACCATCTCAAATTTCCAAACAGCTCCAGGCCCACAGGCCCCTCCCCAGCAGGCTCAGACAGGGGTGTGTCCCCACCAGTCCCACTCTGGGCCCTGCTCCAGCCCCAGCCCCAGCCCCAGCCCCTGCCCCGGCCCAGGTCCCTCCCTCCCCATCCCTTCTTCCAAGGACAGCGGCTAGTGGCCTGTGTTCTGCCCAGGACGGGAGGAGAGCACATATCTGGAGGGCTGAATAAATCTGCCCTCCTCAGGCTGAAGACCCAGAGGAGTGGGATCCGTGGGGGCCAGAAGGAAAAAGGGGCACCAGCCCCACCCCCTTCCCTCATTCCCTCCTTTCCCTCTGGGATGAGGCAACGGGGTCTGGATGGGGATGGGGGACCCTTAAGAAGCCACAGATATACCAGCCACACACTCAGAAAGTACCCACACAACACACCAAGGCACCCACGGAATCACGGAAATGACAGACATCACACACTCCCTCTGGGACTTTGCCTGGGCTGGTTTCCCGCGTCTGGAATGTACTCTCTCCTCATCTCAGCCTCATGGAGTCTATTTTCATTCAAGGGTCAGCTCAGCTCAGGTACCACCTCCTACAGGAAGCCCGTCTAGATCTTCTCCAACAGCCCCCCCCCCCCACTGTGGGTGTTCTATCCTTCCTCAAATTCTCTTGTAGATATTTCTCTCTTTACACACAGAGACACACTCATATAGCAACACACACAGCCATATCATACAGCAGCACTAACAGACTTACATCCTCACACATGGTCTCACTGACATGCACACATAGTAACACCCACAACACACATGTGCGCAGTTACTGCCTTACACACACGAGCTGTCTGGAAACTTGAAATAGTGAGATAAGTCAACATGTGTGACCCGGCAGAAATGATGGAGACACAAAGAGACATACAGAACACAAAGAAACAGAGACACAGGGGGGCAGAGACAGAGACACACTCCCGGAGGGCAGAGACACCCCACAAAGGGCAGAGACAGAGGGATCAGAAATATGAAGGAGAAAGATAAAGGAGAAACAGAGACAGAGACCCATACCAGGCTCTCATGGACATGTACATATGCCTATTCACGGCACAATGACACGCTATAACCCTCTCGCACATGCTCACAATACCAAGTTCACATTCACACACAGGTACACTCTGACACACACACTCTTTCACACTGACGTGCACATACCCATACACACAGCTACACTCTTACACGAGGGCACACACAAGCACACATGAGCAGTCTCACAGCTGCAACGAGGAGCACACTTTTACACTGTTAAATTCTCGTGCTCACCCTGATACACACACACACACACACATACACACTCACACACAGTGTCTCACACTCACACACACACTCACTCTGATGCACACATACACACACGCCGCCCCACAGACCCATCCAAGAACATCTTCGTACACACACAGTTCCAATCTCACACACACACTCACACACACTCGCACACACTCACCCTCCCCCTGGCCCAGGCTCAGGCCCCGCCCACCCCTCCCTTGTTCCTCCACTGAGCAGGAGGGAAAAGTCTTTATATAGAGAGAGGCTGAAACTGGGGCTTGAAGTCAGCTCCACAGTCCTGGGGAGGCGGCTGAGCCCTGAGCCCCCCAACAGGCCCCGCCCCCGGCGGGGGCCCCCCCGCCCTCCACCTGCTCCCTGCCCCTCAGGGACCCGCGTTCTCCCCCACTCTTTCAGCCATGCCGCTGTGGTTCCTGCTCCTGGGGGTGCTCTCCTGGCCGACAGCCCAAGCCGAATCTGGCCAGGGTAAGTGACCTCCCCCAAATCCCAGGTTGCTAACACCCTTCCCTCTCACCCTCTCAGCCCCCGACCTGTAACCCCCTTGGCCCCTTGGGCTATCCAGCACCATGATCATACCATTCCCCTGGTGCCCCAACCACCCCATCCCCTGGATGTCTGGGACACCAGAACCTCGGACCCCAGAAGTCCCTGGCCTCCAGATTCCCAGATCTTTGGCTTCTGACTCTCCAGACCCAGGCTCCCAGTACCCTGGGTCCCTGGACTCCTGGCCCCCTTTGCCCAGACCTCTGATCATTCCATCCTCTTAATCCTCAGTCCCTCAATAATGCGGCTTCCAGAAGCTAAGGATGTCCAATACCCTGGTCTCCAGAACTCTCAGATCTTGGAACCCAACACCTTGGCCCTAGAACTCCAAACACCCCACCCTGCCAGTCCCTTGACTCAACTGGACCCGAATCCATGACCATTCTGCTACCTGGTCTCTGGACGCTTGAATTTCAGGCTACTAGATTCCTTGCGCCCCCAGCACTTTGGCCTCTCGATCCCCAAACCTTGGACATTTGATGCCACAGAACCTTAATTTCCCAACATTGTGGACTCCCAAACCCCCTTGAATCCAGGCCCTTGATCACCATCCTCCCCCAAACCTAGATACCTAATCCTTTGTCATTTAATGCCCTGGCCCCCAGAGCCCTCAGACCCCAACATCCTAGTCTCAAAAACCTTTAGATCCTGAGCCCCCAACACCCTGGACTCCCAGATCCCTGAGCCCCTCATAACTAGACTTCTAATGCTCACTATCCCTAGGGACCCCAAAGCTCTAATCCTGCCCCCCCCAAAGCTTGACCCCCAAACTCTAAGCCCTGAATCATCAATACTTTGCAACCCCACACCCAATACTATGATATAGCCAGAGCCCTGGTGCACTCCTATCCCCATGGACCCCAAATTCCTAATCCTTGGCCCCTCTTAACCTTAGACCCTAAGTCCCTACCTCCTTTGCCAGGGGTCTCAAGCCTGTATTGTCTGACCCCAGAGATCATTCCTTAGATTTGGGGGAGGAAGGCAGTCTGGCTATATCAGAGGTAGGCCTACAGTGGGGTGGGAGATGAGCAGCTGGGGCAGCCCAGGATCCTGACTACCTACCTTTGTGGGATTCTACGGCTTCTCCATCAGGACTAATATGGGTTTGGTCTGGCTCCTGGTAGGCCCAGAAGGGGGGAAGATGTGTAGAATATGGCGGCTAATGTCCTAGGGATGGAGGGAAGAGTGAGACCAGGAGCTTTGCAAATTTCCTGCCCTACAGCTAAGCCTTGGCAGCACCCCAGTGCCCCCATCTCCCTAGCCCCCTTAGTCGACTCAGCTCCTCTTTTTGTTATACCTCTTCTTCTTCTTGTTGTCCCTTCTCTTAGCTGGGAGCAGTCCAGCTTCCCACTCCTATGGTCAAGGACTGGACATCAGGTCCTGTTCACCCCAGGAGTTCTACCCTCTGAATATAACCCAGGGTCTCTCCCACCTGGCCCTGTGCAAATCCTAGAAAAATGAGGACCCCATTTCCTTACATTTGTTATGGCCAGGATGGGTGATGAAAGACCATCCAGGACATGGCATGTATCTTCCCCACCCCCTCCCAACAGATAGATGACAAAACTGAGACTCAGTTATGGTCACGTAGTAACTCTCTAGGAAGAATAAATTCTAGAACCCAGCCGTCCCGACTCCCAACCAGGGCTCATTCCGGACTCCATATCCTCTTCTCTGGATTATAAGGGACACTCCAGGTACCTCCAAAGGGCAGGAGTGAGCTTCTTATTCCCAAGCTGGATAGTGGGATGGGTGGGGTGTGTTTTGCTAGCGTCTCCAGCCAAGAACCATCTTTCCCATCCCTACCCGCACCCTATCCCCCAGTGACTGAAAGCCTACCCCCCCTCCAGGGCTCCCAGTGTGGTGACTGTGCTGGGGAGACTCATGAGCTCATGCTACGGGAATGTTCCCGGAAGGCTTGGGTGACTAAGAGGTTGGGGGGGGGGGCAGGAGGTGGGCAGGAGCACAGGCTGGGTGAGGAGCTGGGATCTCGAGCTGGGGTTGCATTCTGTCCCCTAGACCCCAAGGCTCCTGCCCTTGCTTCAAGCTCTGGCCCTCAGATTCCCTCCCCCTCCCCCTGCTCCACCCCAAGCCCCTGTTTTTATGGTGCTAAGACACCGGTCCTAATCCCAGGCGAGGTCCTAGACCTGCCTCCAGCCTCAGGCAGCTCCCTCCTGATTCAGGAGTGATTAAGTGATTTTTGAGTCCCGGGGAGGTGAAGGAAAAGGTATATCCCTCAGCTCCAGAGGCTGAAGTCACTGCTTCATCATCTCCCTGTCCCAAAATGAGGTCTCAGGCAGGGAAGAGGTATCCTCAGGTACCTTGAGATCTTCAGGAAAAAGAGTCCAAAAGAAGAGATTTGGGGCACACTCTCCCATTAGATTGTGAGCTTCTTGAGGGCAGGGATTATTTTTTGCCTTTTTGGTTTGTTTTGTTTTTAGGCAATGGGGTGAAATGACTTGCCCAGAATCACACAGCTAGTATGTGTCTGAGGTCACATTTGAACTCGTGTCCTCCTGACTCCAGGGCCAGTGGTCTATCCCACTGGTTCACTTGGCTGGCCCCTTAGTTTTGAATCTCCAGCACTAAGTATAATACCTGACACATAGTAGGCGCTTAATGAATGTTAATTGACTGACTTGGGACTGACTGTCCTTGGTATTTATTATCCCTTCCACGCTCCAAAGACCCTTGCTGACCCCCAGATCCTGGCTGGGCTGGGTTCTAATGCCCAGGAATTGAATTTGCAGTCAGAAGACCTGGGTTTGCATTTCTGCTCTGCCACCACTCCACTGCCTCTGTGACCTTGGCCAAGTGCATTCCCTTCTCTAACCCTGAGCTTCCCTATCTATATAATAAAGAGGTTGTACCAGATAGATGGTCAGCGAGGTCCCTTCCCCTTTGTAAATCCTCTGATCCCGTGTCTCCCCGGCTCCAGGTGGCATCTGCTGGCTTCGCCAGGGCCGAGAGGCTCAGTGCAGCCTGATCCTGAGGGCAGGTGTGAGCTGGGAGGAGTGCTGCTCTGCCGGTAATGTAGATACCGCCTGGTCAAATTACACCCATCAGGGCAACAAGATCAGCCTCCTGGGCTTCCTGGGCCTGGTGACCTGTCACCCCTGCAAAGGTAGGAGCCCCTCGAGCCGGTCACTGCCCAGCTGTGCCCCCATGGGAGGTAGAGTGCGGAAAGAAGGGGGTGGGAGCCAGCCTCCCAGATGTTGGAAGTGGCAGCCGCCGAGGCTCAGTGGTTGGGGATGGTGATTAATCCCAGCTCTGCCTGGCTGGGTGGTCTCTGGGAAAACACTCTCCCTCTCTGGGCCCCCGCTCTTGCCTCCCTCCCTCCTTTTTCTGTTCCTGCTCACTTCCTATCTGGGGGTGGCTTTTGGGAATGGGGATAGAGGCAGGAGGGGAGGGAACGGGAGGGGAAGAAGAAGGGGGGAGAACGCAGGTGGCTTTGGGATAAGACAGGGCCAGGCTCCAGCTGGAGGTTTGAAGATGGATCCTCCAGGGTCCTCTGGGGCTGGGGATGGAGGTGGGGCGGGGAGGGGGGCGTGGGCGGGGACTCTCTTTTCTCCAGTCCAAATCTAGACTGGGAGAGGCTCCAGCTGTGTGTGGCCGGGCTCTGCCAGATGTGTGGGAGCTGGTGGCCAGGTGCAACCCACATGTGAGGAGCCAGAGGCCCCTCCCCTCAATCAGCCTCAGGAACCCTTAGGGAACTCAGAAGGGTGGGAAAGGGGGCTCCGGAGGACCCTGGAAAGAACCGTTGGTGCAGGGGCCGGGGCCCTGGTGGGGAATCTCAATCCTAGCCAATACGACCTTCCCCGGCTAGGCGCCCCCCCCCCCCCAGTTTCCCCATCTCTGAAATGAAGGCTCATAGGTCACAGATCTAGCGTTAAGGCCACCTAATCCAACGCCTTCATTCTTCAGATGTGAAGAACTCAGACTCCAAAAAGTGAACCTTGATTTGCACAGTAAGTAGTAGAACCGAGATTTGAACCAGTTCTGGTTCTGCCACCAGCCCTCTTTCTACCATGCTGGACTGTCGAGGCTAAAGTTCAGTGGCAAGAGCCCCTGGATGGGAGTCAGGAGACCCAGGGGCAAGTCTCAGCTCCAACATTTACTTACTATCGGGGTGAGCGTTGACAGCTGTGTGCCTCAGTTTCCCCATCTGTAAAATAGCGCTAATAATGGGCACCACAGAAACGTGAGCTGCAATTATTATTGAGTTCAACCCCCACAGTGCCTTGCACCTTATAGGTACTTAATAGGGGTTGAATTAATTAAATTAAATTTCAGTATGCAGTATCCCTAGTCATAGGGACTGGGCACTTGGGGCTATAGAGATCTTTCATCTCTCAGAAATGGGCAGGCAGTCAGGGAAATCGAAACAAAAGGAGGGCACTGGCTTTCTCCTGTCTGACTCAGTTATCAGTCTGCCAAGGGTCAGCCTCCATTCAGTCCAGTGAAACTGGAGCAGAGAGACATTCCGTCCCTGGTTAGAGGCTAACCCCCTGATCCCCACTGCCCCCTCCTTTAACCACAGAACTGCATAATCCAGTACCCAGAGCAAAAAACAAAACCAAACCCAAAATCTGCCCCAGAATGATTTTTTGATTAATTAGGAGGTTTTTTTTTTTGTTTTTTTTTGTGGGAAATTTATTTGTTGGTTTGCTACATTATTCAATGTCATGAATTATGTTTCTCAGTATTTGCTGTTTGGTAATATCTACTTTTTGTATTGTGTAGGCCAGGGTGTCAACTTCAAATAGAGACAGACCACTAAAGTACACAAAGGTCCCTGCGGGTGCTTATTAATTTAGTTTTAAAATGTAATATTATCTCGGCTTTATTTTATTTTTGTGTACTTTTGTTAAATATTTCCCAATTATATTTTAATCTGGTTCTGGCCAGTATAGCCTGCTGGCTGCCTATTTGACTGATATAGACTGTCAATCAATAAACACTTATTAAGCACTAACTATATATCCAGTGGACAGCTGGGTGGCGAAGTAGATAGAGCATCAGGCCTGGAGTCAGGAAGACTCATCTTCCTGAGTTCAAATCTGGCCTCAGATACTTGCTAGATGCATGATCCTGGGCAAGTCACTTAACCTCGATCGCCTTCCCCACCCAAAAGAAAGATGAGCTGGAGAAGGAAATGGCAAACCACTCCAATATCTTTGCCAAGAAAACCCCAAAAATGGGTTCACGAAGAGTTAGAAATGACTAAACAACAACAACAACAATGTGTTGGGCCCTGTGCTATGAACCGAGGCTACAAATAAAGGCCAAAAAAACAATCCCTAATTTCATCAGTCAGGAGAAACTTCCAATGTAGAAACTCTCTACACCTGGACTCTGTCCACTGATGTTCACATGTTGACAGATAAGCATGAATTCATCTGTAGTTTATAGTTTCAGGGAATTGCTCATTTAAGGGAGGTTAAAGAATTTGCCCACAGTTACACAATCTTGGTTTTGAAGGCAGGACTTGAACCAAGGTCTTCATGTCTCCCAAAGCTAGCCCTTTACCTCCTAACTCCAAGGTGCCTTATCTTTGAATTTATCAGAGGCAGCTGTGGATAGGCATAGATAGACCTAAATTCAAATCAAGCCTCAGCTATTTAAAAACTGTGTTACCTTGGGCAGGTCACTTAACTTCTATCTGCCTCAGTTTCTCCATTTGTAAAAAACAAATAAGAATAGCACCTATGCCTCCCAAAATTATTGTAAATATAAGATGAAATCATATTTATAAAAGATTTTGAGAACCCTGAAGCACCATATAAATGCTTACCTACAATAGCTATTATTATTATTATTATTATTACTATTATATATCCTAAAAAGACTTTAATAAATCTTTGGTCTAGATTGTTTTTTTTTTTTTACCAGTGTAGGGAGCTCGCTGGTGAGAAAACCCCCTCTACCAATGCCAATCAGCAGCTACTCAGGGATTTCTAGACTGAGAAAGCTTCCAGGGCCACTAGCTAACTGAGCTAATATGAAGCCAGGCAGCATGGAGTTAGGAGATAAAGGGCTAGCCTTGGAAGTCAGGAAGATCTGGATTTAAGTCTTGCCCTTGACCCATGACTCAGAGAGGCTAATTGCCTTACTAAGGTCACACAGCATGAGCTTATAAGCCAGAGGCAGGACCTGACCTCTCTTTGCTGTCCTGAGTTGTGAGATTAGCCCTTTTAATCATTGCAGGATGCTGATGCTGAAGTAAAAAAAAGATTACTGGGCAGCTAGGTGGTACAGTGGATAGAGCTCTAGCCTTGGAGTCAGAAGGACCTGAGTTCAAATCTGGCCTCAGACACGACACTCTTACTAGCTGTGTGAACCTGGACAAGTCACTTAACCCCAATTGCCTAGAAAATATACAATAGAAATATGATCTCATTTGATCCTCATAACAACCCTGGGAGGTAGGTGCTATTATCATCCCTTTTACAGATGAGAAAACTGAGGCAAATGGAAGTGAAGTGACTTGTTTGGGGTAACGCAGCTAATAAGTATCTGAGTTCGCATTTAAACTCAGGTCTTCCTGACTCCTGACCCCTGCACAAGCTAGGTACATTGTAACACACTGAGCATGTGTTAGATTGCTTGAAAATGACAGGCAACCAACTAGCCAATCAACAAGCATCTATTAAGCATCTACCATGTGCCACACACTTAGATACAAAGACAAAAGTGAAATGGTCCCTGCTGTCAAGAAGTATACATTCTTTCCAATGGCAGCCAAGTCTATTATAATGTTATCCAATCTCAACCAAACCCCCACTACAGCAAAACAAAAATTCAATTTCTAATTGATCCTAATTAGTCCTGTCTTTCCTCAAGCTTCCCACAGCTCCTTCTCCACCCACCCTCTCTCCTGAGTGCTACACCTCATACTCCTCCCACACCAAATTGAGTCCAGTTGGGGAGGGCTCCCTCTTTGTCCCTGCTCTTCATCTCACATCCTTCAAACATCTTCCTCCACTATCTCCTCCATCATTCCAGTCTTGGATAAAGTGGTGGCCCTTCTTCTTGCCAAGGCCAACCCCTCTACAAGCACCCTTGTGGATTCCATCCTCTCCCAGCATTTCCAACAAATTGCCCCAACTGCCATTTTTAATCTCTTGCTATCTCCTGCTACCTCTAAACATGCCCGAGTCTCCTTAATCCTTAAAAAAATCCTTGCTTGATCTGACCATCCCTACAAATCTCTTATGTGCTTCATGGCCAAACTCCTTAAGAGAGCTGTCTACACTCATTAGCACCCTTTCCTCTCCTCTCTATATTCTAGCAAGCTGGCTTCCAACTTGACCATGCAATTGAAATTGCTCTCTCCAGGGTTGCCGATGACCTCTTGATTGCCAAATTGAATGACCTTTTCTTAATCGTCATCCTTCTTGACCTCTCTGCAGGCTTTGACAAGGTCCATCACCTTCTGTTGGATACTCTCACCTTTTGAGGTCTTTGTGACTTGGTTTCCTCCTGGTTCTCCATCTGTCTTTCTGATCACTCTTCCGTCTCCTTGATTGGATCCTTTTTCCTCTAGGTCATGCCCATTAAACTTGGGTGTCCTTCAAGGCTCTGTCCTGGGCTCTCTTCTCTTTTTAATCTCTACTGTCTCACAATGATTTCATCAGCTCCCATAGGTTTAATGATCACTTTTAAGCAAATGATGGTCATATGTGTGTATCCAAGCTCTCTTCTGAACTACAGTCACACATAACCAACTGCTTCTGTGACATCTTGAACCAGATGAACTATTTGTTGTTCAGTTGTGTCTGACTCTTTGTGATCCCATTTGAGGTTTTCTTGGCAAAGATACTGGAGTGGTTTGCCATTTCCTTCTCTAGCTCATTTTACAGACGAGGAAACTGAGGCAAACAGTGTTAAGTGACTTGCCCAGGATCACACAGCTAGTGATTGTCTGAGGCCAGATCTGAACCCAAGAAGATGAGCCTCCCTGACTCCAGGCCCAGGGCTCTATCCCCTGTGCCCCTTGGCTGTACCATAAGTATATCAAAGTCAACATATCGAAGACAGAACTCAGAATCTTTCCCCTAAAACCTTCCACCCCTCCAAACTTATTATTGTTAAGGCATCACTGTGCTCCCAGTCACCTAGGCTCACAACCTTGTTGTCCATAACTCCTCACTCTTACTCAACATATTGAAACCATTGCCAAATTTTGTCATCTCTATCTTAATAATAGCTAACATTTATTTTTAAATAATATTTTATTCCTCCCCAATTACATGTTAAAACAATTTTTAACATTTTTTTGTAAGTTTTGAGTTCCAAATTCTATCCCTCCCTCCTTCCCCTGCCCCCTCCTTGAGAAGGTAAGCAATTTGATATAGGTTATACATATGCAATCATGTAGAACATTTCCATATTATTCATTTTGTACAAGAAGACTTAAACAAACAAAAAAAAGTAAAAAACAGTTGTCTGTATTCAGACAACACCAGTCCTTTCTCTGGAGACAGCATGTTTCATCATAAATCCTTTGGGATTCTCTTGGATCATTGTATTGCTGAGAATGGCTGTCATTCACAATTCTTCGTCCTACAATATTGCTGTTACTATGTACCATGTTCTCCTGGTTCTGCTCACTTCACTTTGCATCAGTCCATGTAAATCTTCCCAGGTTTTTTCTGGAATCATCCTACTTGTCATTTCTTATAGCACAATAATACTCCATCATAATCACATACCATAACTTGTTCAACCTTTCCCCAATTGATGGGCATCCCCTCGATTTTCAATTCTTAGCCACCACAAAAAGAGCCGCCATAAATAGTTTTATACAAATAGACCCTTTCCCCTTTTTTGCTCTCTTTGGGATGCAGACCTAGCAGTGGTATTGCTGGATCAAAGGATATGCATAGTTTTATAGCCCTTTGGGCATAGTTCCTAATTATAGCTAACATTTATATTGCATTTACTATGTGCCAAGCACTTTACAATTATTATTTAATTTGATCCTCACAATAATCCTGTGAGGTAGGTGTATTATTATCCCTGATTTATAGACAAGGAAACTGAGACAAACAGGGTTAAGTGACTTGCTCAGGGTCACACAGTTAGTAAGTGTCTGAGGTTGGATCTGAATTCAGGTTTTCCTGATTCCAGACCCACTGCACCACCTAGCTCTTCTCCCACAGCCACAACCCCAGATCAGGCCCTCATCCCTCTCCAGAACTTTTATAATAGCCTTCCCACTGGTCTCCCTGCCTCAACTCTCTTCCCATCCCATCCATCCTCCACTCAGTTGCCAAAATGATCTTTCTAGAGTTTAGGGCTGCCAATGTCATATCCCACCTCCCCCCATGAGCCTTCATGGCTCCTATTACCTCCAGGATCTGGTATTTCAAGTTCAGCATAATTTGGCTCCTTCCTACCTTTCTAGTGTTCTTACACTTGACTCCCTCCTATCTGTCCCCTGGTCCATCTACATTGGCTTACTTGCGGTTCCTTAGCCTGAGCCTTCACGTCCCCTCTCTGCACTAGCTATCCCCCATGCCTGGCATTCTCTATCCCCTCATTTCAGCCTGCTGGTTTCCTTTGCTTCCTTTAAGACTGAGTTAAAATCTCTCCTTCTGCAGGAGGCCTTTCCCCATCTTCCATGCCCCTCGTTCCCTCCTCCCCTAGAGAAACCTTCTACCTACTCTACATAGGTTGCATCTACCAATTTACGTGTTGTCTCTCCCATTAGAATGAGAATGTAAGCTCCAAACGTGGCTAATATGAAAATATGTTTTGCATGACTTCACATGTATTATTGATATCAAATTGTTTGCCTTCTGGAGGAGGGAGGAGGGGCAGGAGGGAGAGAGAGAATTTGAAACTCAAAAGTTTAAAGAATGATTGTTTAAAAATGTTTTTGTAAGTAATTGGGAAATATGTAATCATATATATTTAAATATATATACATATATATAAAGAATATAAGCTCCTTAAGAGGGCAAAAACTGTTTATATCTTTCTTTATCGTACCAAGCACTTAATGCTTATCTACTGAGACAAGTAGATAGATGAAACTAGAGTCTAGAAGACCTGAGTTTGAATACTACCCCCAACACTTAACTGTTGCTATTGTTGTTCAGTCATTTCAGCTGTGTCCAACTCTTTGTGACCCTATTTGGGGTTTTCTTTTCTTTTTTTTTTTTGTGAGGTAATTGGAGTTAAGTGACTTGCCCAGGGTTACACAGCTAGTAAGTGTCAAGTGTCTGAGGCTGGATTTGAACTCAGGTCCTCCTGACTCCAAGGCTGGAGCTCTGTCCATTGTGCCATCTAGCTGCCCCAATTTGGGGTTTTCCTGAGCAAAGATACTGGAGCAGTCTGCCATTTCCTTCACCAACTTATTTTACAGATGAGGAAACTGAGGCAAACAGGGTTAAATGACTTTCCCAAGGACTCACAGCTAGTGTGTCTGAGGCCATTCTAGACCTGGCACTCTATCCCCTAGGCCACCCAGCTGCCCCTCCTATTTGTTAGCCTTCCTGGCAAATCCCTTGACCTTTCCAAGCCTTGGTTCCTTCATCAGTAAAATTGTTATAATAACACTTTTAGTATCTACCTGCCAGGGATGGTATGAAGAACAAATAAATTAAACATATAAATGACTTTGCACATCTCAAAGCATCATAGACATGTCAGCTTTTAATATTATTCTTTCATTTTGATTTTTTTTTTTTTTTGTGAGACAATTGGGGTTAAGTGACTTGCCCAGGGTCACACAGCTAGTAAGTGTCAAGTGTCTGAGGCCGGATTTGAACTCAGGTCCCCCTGATTCCAAGACTGGAGCTCTATTTACTGCGCCACCCAGCTGCCCCCTATTCTTTCACTTTGAGAAGGAAAGAGGGAACTTGTTTGGGGAGATCCACATTTTTAAAAATTCACCTATTACTATTTGTCATTGGTTAGATTGTGTTTCTCTATTGTATCTGTTTTTATACAAGTATGTGTTTCTAGGTTAGATGTGATTTTTGGACTATCAGTGATTGGAGAGGTAGTGTGGGGTGGTGGTTAGAAAACTGCCCCTCTTGGGGCTCTAGGCAACTAAGATTTGGTTGTAGAGAGGGCGCTCCCAAAGTCAATGAAACTACAGGTACAGCCTGTAGTTTTAGATTATTCTCAGCATTAAGTTATCTGTGATTTGTTTCAGGCAGGATTTGAACAACAGGTTTTTGTTTTTCAGTTCAGGGCGCTAGGAGGGGCCGTACTGCCTCTGCCAAGCTCATTCTGTCTCCCTCTGTCCCCAGAGACCTGTGAGGGAGTGGACTGTGGTCCAGGTAAGGTGTGCAAGATGCACAGCGGCCGGCCCCACTGCGCCTGTGCCCCGGACTGCTCTGGACTTCCCATGCAGCTGCAAGTCTGTGGCTCTGACGGGGTCACCTACAGGGACGAGTGCGAGCTGCGGACGATCAAGTGTCAGGGGCACCCGGACCTGGGCGTCATGTACCAGGGGCACTGCAAAAGTGAGACACCAACCTCATCTCTGTGCACCCGCTCTCTTGCGTTATCCCATTCACCGAGAGCTCCATTCTTCTTACTGAGATCCCTCCCCCCTCATTAAGCCAGGGAGGCATCAGGGTGGACCTGGAGTCAGGAAGACCCGAGTTCAGATCCTACCTCAGACCCTTGTTACTAGCTGTGTGTGACTACTAGCAAGTCACATCACTTCTGTCTCAATTTTGTCATGCGGATAATAGCACCTACCTCACAGAGTCATTGAGAGGATGAAATAAGATATTTGTAAAGCACTTTGCTAACCTTAAGGTGATATGGAAATGCTGGCTGTTATCATCCTTAAGTATGCCATATTCTTCACTGAACCCCTCACACTTCCTCATTGACCTCCCATCTGCCATTGACCTCCCATCCCCCTCACCATTGCCTTTACCTAGCCCACCATCCCCTCATTGACCCCTCATCCC